CTTGAAGAAGGGGATAGCACTGTCGTGCAGCGACTTCAAGAAATTGCTCGGGAGCTTCGAGACATTGGCGCCGATGCCGCTGAACCCCGAGCTCGTCGTATCCTTGCTGGTCTGGGATTCTCAAAAGAAATGCAAGACAAAGCTGTTGAGGTAACATTGTATTTTATTTCGACATGCTTGATAGAAATCCGTTCTACTTTTTATGTAGTTAGATTGAACACTCCCGTATTTGAAGCCAACCACAGTGGTACGTTCGTTAAGCTTTGGTCAAGAAGGGAGTGCATGCATAGAGTGAAAGCTTTCCTCCCTGCGACGCGTCTCTTTCAGAATGAGTAGACATATTTACTGCATTTTTTTCGCTTTTTACGTATCTAGAAATTGAATGTGGCTACATTAGGTCGGATTACGTGACTACTTGAACTCTCCCCTATGTTCTCTGCCGCGAAAGGCCAGCACAGACGATTAGAGAACGGCGCCTGGCTCGGCTCCAAATCCCAAGGGGAAGGTGAGAGCTCTAGGACTAAGCCTTGGAGGGAGGAGGGACTCCGGAGTGGGTGAGCCAATTACATTGTGGCAAAGTTTGAATGTATCAGATCACAGTAATCATAAGCCGCTGTTAGGCGAGAGAGCGCAGGCGAGAGCATCGAATCGAGGCGGTTAAAGGCTGAGTTCAAGTTGTCCGTAGACCCATTAGGTCGTGGGCTGGCCTGACGCTGTCCTAAGGATGGTCCAGATTCCTGTTGTTCTTATTTGTCAGGGTTTGAAGGAAACGGATAGCATGTTCAGTAGCCGTGTCGGTAGATATTTCTCTATCGAGCCGCAACCTATGATTGTCTCTCTGATACATAATTTCAAAGGAATAAGGGTCTTCAATGGATGGAAATTGTGAAATGAAATCGCAGACATTTTTTTCAGGACTTCTCGGGTGGTTGGAGAATGAGAATTTCTCTGGCTCGCGCTCTTTTCTTAGAGCCCACCTTACTAATGCTCGATGAACCCACAAATCATCTTGATTTGAACGCTGTCATTTGGCTCGACAAGTTTGTTATTTTTCTTCTGTTTTCGTTCCACACATCACGTTCCTTATTTTGGCAGACAAATAAACTTAGAGAATGAATTTCAGCTACCTTCAGTCATGGAAAAAGACGTTGTTGATTGTTTCTCACGACCAAGGATTCCTGGACAATGTTTGCACTGATATAATCCATTTACAAGACCAAAAACTCCACTATTACAAAGGAAACTATAGTGAGTCAACGCTTGTTGACTGTATGGCTTAGGTTGTTGTGCTTTTGTTCGTTTGATTCTAACTATATTCCAGGTTTATTTAAGAAGATGTATGATCAGAAGACAAAAGAGTACCTAAAAGCATATGAAAGTCAAAAGAAGCAAATGGTAGCCTTGAAAAAGGGTGGCAAGAGTGCCAAGCAAGCGGAAGAGGAGCTGAAGCGAAATATGCAGAATAAACAAAACAAACAAACAAAAGGAAAGAAAGGATCTGCTTCGATGGGAGATGAAAGTAAGTCTTTCATTGTTTGGAATTCTCAAGTTTTCAAATTAGTTAGTAAGCTTCAGTTCAAGTATTTCAACTTGTATTGGGCTGGTTGGAAAAGTTTTGCCACATTTTTTAAAGCTTTAATATCTGCTCTTGCTTCGACAGCGTTGGACCAATGTTACTAACAACGATACCGTACGAAATTCCTTTTCTGGCGGTTAGCGCCTGCGTAATATCAAAATCTGTGCTGTGCCACTGCATGGGCGTGAAAGCTGCCGATTCCAAATACTACAAATTGGTGCCTTGACATTTACCTGAACGCATCTTGGATGTTACTGTGCACTGGGAGCTGTTCTATAAAAAGGCGCTACCATTGTCTCCTCGCGACAGCTTGGAACGACGGGGAATCGCTGGCAGAATGCGCATCGGTTCCTTCAAGTTTGTTGCTTTGCTTTTGTCCGCAACACTTCTAGAGACAAAAGCAAAGCAACCAATTTGCAAAGGAACCGATCCTACGAGCTTTTACCTGCCACCCCGGACCATCACCACTGAGCTATTACGCTTCATAACTCCGTTCGGAGAGTCGTTTAGCAGATTTGGAAGGCAGATTTGGAATCAGCGTCTGGAGACGCATCAGGAGGTATACATTTCATTTCGAACGGCCACTTCGACCTACCATCCTTCCCTTGTTAGTAGCACAAGTGGTACTATGGCAAAAAATGGTTTTCCCGATTTGAAATGATTTTCCTTGGAATTTTTTAGCAATAACATGATGAAGATGATCACTAATCTACGGACAACTATTAAGTACGGATGATCGTCGATCGAAAACATTATGTTCGGATTAGATGCGTTATACTATCGCTAACTGAACTTCCAATTGCAAAAGAGCCAAGCACGTTCCAGTAATTCGAAGATGATCCCGTTATGAACCTTGATTTTGCCCTACTCAACTAAAGAGAGCCTTTTCAGATGGGAGAGCAATCACTTCGACATGCTATGTTCTACGTTATCGTTACTATACTGCTGTAGTGGGCATGTGGTCAGGTTTGTTTTTCCGACAAAAATTTGAAGTACTCCAAAATCTTCTGAGATTGTTTTCAGGAATGGCCTTTGACTGTACTTGCCACGTTCGATCGAGATACACTCATGCTGAGCGAGCCCGGAAGAAATTATTCTACTATGACTCACAATTGGTAATGTTTGATGTAATTCAACTCCTCCCTGAGCCTCAACAATGCCATTTTCAAATCGATGTAAGACCTTCTAACGACTAACGTGAAGCCGGACCCGTTTTCCATTTTGGCCAGGAACTTCCTTTATATACGATAGATAAGAGCCAAGATAAACCGGGGTGTCTTACCATATTACCTAGCCGATGCGTAGCACTGAAATCAAGTTCAATTCAGTGCTCTGGGTTTTCTAATCAGATTTCCTCCAGAGAAATCAGCTAAGGTAAATTTTGAGGACGGGAAACCAGATGTAGGCTTCAACTTCTTCCCTTAAGACTCGGTTTATCTGCACTTCTTTGAATGCCCTTTACTCCCTGCGTCATTAGTTTCGTACCCCATGGAGAAACTTCCGATTGAATCAGGGTTGTTTAATTCATTCACTCGCTGAAAGTGGGTGTTATTCTTGCTTTAAATGAGTTTTTAGTATTTCAGGACTAATACTGGTCTTATCACCGCTGATCATTCATAATAGTTTAGATTAAAATGAATATTTCCCTTGGGACGTGAACGAGGTCTTTCAAAGTAGCGGGTAGCGAGAAAACTATTTCCCCAGTATAAGCTACCGCAACATGATGACTTGGGTGCTGGTCAGGACTAATAAAATGAGAACATACGAGTTAAATTTCTTTCAGGTGCTTGTCAGCCGATGTTTCATCGGGGATGTGGCGGCAATGAAAACAAGTTCACCACAGTGGCCGAGTGCCGAGAAAAATGTTCCAAACGTAAAAACGCCACACAGCCGTCCAAGGGTGATGAAGCATTAGTAGGTGAGTTGACATAGTGGGCCATAAGTCTCTCAGAAGCAGCTGGCAACAAACTTTTCAATAATATTGATATTGTAATCATTGGCTGTTTTAGTGGGTTGAATGCCAGCTTCGAACCGATGCTAAGATTCCAGAAAAAGCAAAAAAGTGCGACGATGGCTGCCCAATAGGATACCGGTGTAATGAGAACAATAAGTGCTGCCCAATGAAAAGTATGTGCATCGATTTTGTGAATGACTTCTTCAATCTGCCTTTTCCACAATGTGTCTGTTTCGAAGCGATCTTCTCCTCCTCACACACAAAACGCTATTTATTTGCTTCGCTGCGCTATGGCTGCAATTTGTGGTGGTGCAGAGTCAACCCTGCGTTGCGCAGTTCTCAACGGCCACGTTGCGCAGTTTCGCCCGATTAGACACGTTCTCTCGCGCGAACATTCACACTCGCATGCTCGAGCCGTCTGTGTCTCCGCCCATACAGCGTGCGTTGAGGATCTCTCAACGTGCCGTTGCGAACTGCGCAACGCAGGGTTGACTCTGGTGGCGAATGCCGCCATAACGTTTCGTTACTTCAATGGTGTAACAGTGATTGTACTCGGGGAGTGGGGAGGGAGTATCAATACAAACTTGCCAAAGACAACTAACTAGCTATTTTTAGTTTTTTCAAACGATTTTACACATAAATAATTATAGTAGAAATGAAAATTCTGAACCAAGATTTGATTCAGTTCTAACTTCAGGATGGGATTCAACTTCGAAAATATGCAAAAGCAAAGTTTAGACCTCCGTACTATGATAGCTTTTGCCATATGTAGAGTGTATGACAGCTATGGTAGACAATCTGAAAGTGTGACCGGTAAAATGTTCCCACTCAACCGACTGATCAATTTCCTGTCCAGAGTGCTAACCCAGTATACCCCTGTAAAGACAGTTTCGCACGTGAACAGGACGCGCTGCGACTCGTCACCGACCC